ATAAATCCACCTAAGCATCCTCCGCTTTGTGTTGCAGACTGTGGCAGTAGGGGGAATGCGTTACTAAAAGATGAAGATGCTCAAGTTGCTAACAGCAATAAGGATGGAGAACTCAGGGGAAGGAGCCAGGGTGGGGACTCATTAGCGACAGCAGCCGGACTCTGGCTTTCTTCCTCCCCTGCTGTCTTCTGCCATCCGTGCTTTTCTTGCACGAGGCAGCTCCTGACTGGCTCTTTCCTGTTAAAAAGAGCAATACAGGCAACCTTGAACTTCAGACATCTCAGAGAAACAAAGAAAGTTAAACTGAGTCTCCTTCTTAGTTGTTATAGCAACACAGAAACTGCTGCAGAGCCGCTGAAAATGCCACACAGGAGCCACTTGCCAAGCTGCAGTCACAACACATCTTCCCGTCCGGTGTGCGACTCACGTACGGTCACGCTGGGGCCTGTGTGCGGAGTTCCGACGGCTCTTAGTGAGGGGAGCAAGTCGGGCATCCGCTTCACACTCTCAACCCCAGGCAATCTATTTGGCCCAGCCTGCTGATTCCAGACAGGTGTCTAGAATGCAGACACCTTGCCGATGCCTCCAGGTAACAAATCTAACCTGACAAGCACTCACCACTTCTATCACTCCGTGCTTTCTTAAACTGGGATTATATACCATTTACTGCCTGTGTCCAAATTACCTGAAGGTGCTCCTTGAAAACACAGATTCACAGGCCCCGTCTCAGGCCTCCAGAATGAGTGTCTGTTGCCAATATCTGAGGAGGGCTACACAGAGAGCAGGCTAGATGATGGTACCTTATTCAGTGCAATATAGGCAAGCAAGCATCAGGCAGAGAACTTCTGTGGCTAAATTGGGTCACAGAAGATGGATCCAAGCAGTTCTCATTGGAATCTGCCCATGATTAAGTTCCACAGCCCCATCCTATGCTCAGCCTATGGACATAAAACTGCACTGTGAAAGAAATAACCAGGTTGATGTCTCCATGGAAATCTGAACAGAGATGTGTATGTCCCAGGGCTAGAGGAAAGAGGATCTTCTTTGTTAAGTGTGAGGAGAAGGGGTGGGGAAAGGGCTGGAAAATAAGAAAACTGAGCAGAAAAATGGAAATAGAGCTTTTGTAAATGAAATGAGGCCCACGAGTCGGGAGGATCAGGGAGGAAGGGGAGGGATCCGGAATGAAATGAGAATTAAGCTGTGTGATGTGCATACAGTGGCTCTCCACCGGAAACTTCATCATTACATACTGAATTTTTAAAAAACCACAGTTGGCGTGGTACCCTCCCCCCAAAAAATAAAGATTGTTCCAAAAAGAAGTAGTAAAATGGGTCATTATACTTATGTGTGTTCTCTTTAGTTTTTTATTTTGGAAGCCGCTGACTTAAACACGGAGCCTGTGGAACGGGCATCCTGAACTCAGACACCTTCCTCTCGTGAGATGTCCTGCCTGGCATATCCATAAAGGATCCTTAGGACCTGGTAAATGGATGAAAGAATTTCAGAAGCCCAAGCAATCTTACTCGAGAGAGTATTCTAGTAACCACTATACTCTTCTCCTTTGGCCAGGACACAGAACTTGCAACACTGGCCTGAGCTTGCAAGGGAAATACGCGATGGGCTCTCACACCATTCATCTTCCAAAAATGCCCCCCAAGCTGTTTTACCTGACAGATAATTAAGGCATCAAGTACATCTGAGGAATCCATTGCTTAGCCTGCAAACTCCAGGTGTTGGCAGGGTGGACATGAGTGCCTTAGAATTTAGTTCCAATTGTGTACAAATCCAGCGCAGCTTTGAAAAGCGTTGCTTTTCTCCTATTTATACGCTTACCGTGTAGGTTAGAGATTTCAAAAAACCAATCAACATGATATCAAACCGCCACTCCTAAATGCAAGCATAAAGAGTTGAATTTCTAATCCTCTCTCTTTGAAGATCTAAAATTGATAGAAGACAGTATTGGAGGTGCTATAGTCACTATCTAGAGCAGGTGCAGCGTGGCAAGGATGGTATTGGGTGATGCCAGTCGCCGCTCCTGTTTGTTAATAAAATTTTATCAAAACAGGGGTGCCTATCTGCTTAAGCACTACACCATCCACGGGTGCTTTAGCACCAAAGGCAATGCAGATCATATGTACAAAGCATACAATACTGAACTCTGACCCTCTGTTTAAAAAATTTCCTCTTCCCTGAGGCAGTAAGTCTTAGGAGTTCACAGAGCAGCCTCAGGAATCTCATTGCCTAGATTCGCATGTGCCTCTATCACTTCATAGATAAGAGCTACTGGGAATAGTAATTATATTGTATATGCATCCTGAGGCTCAGTTTCCCCACCTGTAAAATGGGAATGATAACTGTACTTACTGTATAGAATTACCACATGGATTAAATAAGAAAGTACAACTAGAACACTTAGAATTGTGCTTGGCAATAAATAAAAACTGCTGGATCACCTCAGAGAGCTCTCTTTTCTGTCTATATTTTTTTTCTCCTTAAATACACTAGAACAAATCCTCACTTGTAGTTAGCAACATTGAACAACATTCCTTTGCCCACTCATTAACTTGAGATTTGCTTCAGCAATTTTGACTTTGTTAAAATTATAACGATTCCTTTAATTCTATTTCCTTTATCTGCTTCGACTTAATCCTCCTGTTGTCTGCCATGGCCCTGGGAATCAGGGAGAATTCTTGTGAGACAGTCTTAGAAGGAAAAGAAGAAAAGAAGAGCTAGATAGAGTCAGCAAAAAAAAAAAAAAAAAAATAGTGAGGGAATTATTAAATTGCGTGGCGCACCAAATTTTTAAGACAGGAAAACGAATACACCCGGGGAACGGACACTGTGTGAAATGATGTGAAGAGATTTTTACAGAGAACCCGGAGTGAGCGCAAGTGCATTCCCGTGCAGCCATTAGCACTGAACCATTCATATATCCCTAATCCCTTAATTAATTGTTGGCCAAATTCAATCCTCCTTGCCTCAGTATTTCTCAGTTCTGGAGAAAATATCCTGACCAGCTGTGTCCTTGGAATTCCAGCTAAGATCCAAGAAGTTTAACTCAGCACTCATGGGAGTTTAGCTCAGCACCCCAAAGCCACAATGCTGGGGTATAACTGGTGCTGAGTACCATTTTGGGGAATTAGGCACCATGTGGAAGAAGTACAGACGGCACAAACCTTCTTCTGGTTCTTTTTCAGGGTTAACGACATTTTTTTGTTGAAACTATATGAAATTATTTTATGGTAGCAATAGTACTTCAGGATAGTGATATGTCATGTAACAATCACTGTTGATTAGCATTATTTTGTCTTGAGACTCTGTATCACTTTGAATGTTCTTGTTTTGATTTGTTTATGTTTGTGATACTGGTATGCTGCTGCTGTTCTATTTCTTTGTTTTTCATTTACTACTCTCTTTAAAATTAAAAAAAAAGGGGGGGCCTGCAGATTTAGCTCAGTGGCACAGTGCCTGCCTGGCAAGCGCAAGGTCATGAGTTTGATTCCTGGTACCAGAAAAAAAAATTACATTAAATTAAATTAAATTTTTAAAAAGGAAATGCTGCTTTTGCAAGGCCCTAACCCAGTGCCTGGCGTGAAAAAGTGCAACCAATGTGTCTTTATCACCCTGTGAAGAAATAATTCAGTCCCCAGAACAGGAGTGTATTCTTCTACCCATTAAATCCATATATATCCATCAAGCACTTAGCAAAGAGAAAACATAGACCAACCAGGTAAATTTGAACTTAAGATATACAACAAATATGTTAAAAATATAAAGCCATCCCATGCAATATTTGGGACACATGATGGGACATACTATAAAACCATGTAAGTGTTTATATGAAATTCATCTTTAACTGGGTATCATGTATCCTAGCTGCTAACCCACCAGAATAGAGCAGTGAAAAAGATATGCATCAACCCTCTTTCCCTGTGAAACTCTATAGGAACACCAGCATCAAATGCTCGCAAGAGTCAATTGCCATCTGGCTCTTCCCTAGGGAGAAAGTCCATGGAATGGTGACCTTCTTTTTAGAGGTCCATTGCCACTGGGGCCCATTTAGCAGGTGTCAGTGTGTATTATAGTTGCAACTTTATTTCCTTGTCCTATTCCTCTGGAGCTAAAGTCCCTGGTAACAGAGCTTGAGTCTCTGTGTCTCTAGGATATCTTTGTATCCCTGGGGTCCAGCAGAAGGCTGGGAATGCCAACGAGCTCAGCACAGGCTAGCTTAATGAATAAGTGGCCTATGGGTAAGCAGCTGAATTCTGTCAAACAGTGCAGAACCACGCTCATAGTTCATAAAGAATTTTTCCTCATACACCTTCAGAAATGGCGAGGACCGGGAGAAAATGGTGTTGCCAGAATCCAAAGACAGTATGCGTGAAGAATGATCTTTTATTTTAAAATGTTTCGTGAAGAGAGTCCAAGCAAAATTAAGACTAAAAAGAAGGAAGGAAGGGGGCAAGGAGAGTGTCAGAGTGTGACCTGTAAACAGTACTAAAGGGTCCCTTGAAAGAACAGTTCTGTAAAGAAAATGTAAATATACACAACAGAGACCCAGCCGTAAGGAAGGGGGAACTTGAGTCATCTGTAGGAAAATGGGGGCGCCTTGAGACCATACTGCTCAGTGAAATGAACCAGACACACAGGATAAATATTTCATGGCTTCTGTTATACGAGAAACCCCCAGTATAAATAAATGCAAGGGCAAAATAATACATGGCAGGACATAGGCTAACTTTGTGAAGAGGAAGGGGAGAGACAGGAAAGAAGAAAGAAGAAGGGAAGGAAGAAACAATTAAGTTGCAGTATGTATGTGTCCCAAGATGAGTGTAATGATTTTACATTGCGAACACATACCAATAAAAAAAAGTTCTGAGCATAACAGGTAAGAGTGAGTCAAAGTACTGATTTAACTAATGGGCAACACAATCACATAGGATTTCCAATAGCCAACCACAACCGCAAAATCAATAACCGAGCAACAGGGCATAAACCAATAGCAAATAATTAAGAGCCATTTTATTGTCAGTACTGACTGTCATACACTTGAAACACTCGGAAGGAAAATCGCACAAACCCACAAGAGGACAGATTCAGAGGAGTGCAAGAGACACAGTATCTACAATAGAAAATCATTTTGTGGTATCGGCTCCTTTCTGTCCAGCTGTCAAGGGGAAGAAAAGAACGTTGGCGGCTAGAGAGCGCGTCTCAATTAGGCTAAGACTTTTATTTAAAAAAAAAAAAAAAAGGAAAAATATATATTGTATTGCGGAGTTTCCCGATGACCGCACAGTGAACCAGGACTTTATGAGCTTCTTCCCTTCAGCGTGGTTCTCCTTGCTGTCACTCCGTGACCGCCCACGTGGATCTGTGGCTGACACGTCACAAGAGCGCCAGGAATTCTTCGCAGCTACTGTCAGTGCTCAGACCGGTAGGCGGGAAAAGTCTCTGTTCGATGCAGCTTCAGGGGGCTGGTGACATCTTTTCCGTGAAGAACATAAAAGCAAGGGTTACGTTTCATCAAAGCTTATGATCAAATTACTTAGTAACAACTATTAACAGAAATACATAACAGCCTGCACAGGATATTTTTCCTAGTGGCACACATAGGGATATGCAAATATGGCATGAGAGATCCCACAATTAACATATTATTTGCATATGACCTTTGCACTTTGAACTCTGCATGTCTATTAGCAGATACTGTTTGGTTTTTCATCTGCATCAAACCATATATTCAGGGTATTTAGGAAACTTGACACAGAAACACAGGACTATGGACATTTGGCGGGGACACTTGCTGTGAATTTGACCAGAAATAGGAAAATATTTTACTTTAGGGAATCTTGTAAATGTAAAAAAGAATATCTTGAAATCCACTTAGTCTTTTTTTTAAAAAAAAATTTCAGGTTTGGGTTCCAAAGCAAAACCAAAAAGTCAAAAAGAATTATCCTCCTTTGTGACAGAACACAGGTGTTGGTTAACTTTTTCTGCAGAGGGCCAAAACTAATTAGACACCTGCAGCACAAAATCAGCCAGTTCATAATAATGAATGAGCACGACGTGCCAATAAAACTTTATTAAAAAAAACAGACGGCAGCGTGGACTCCTCCCATCCCCAGATCTTAGTTTGCACATCCTTGTAAGGCAGATCGCCTTGGTTTTATGAAACCAAGATGTCTTACTGCCACCTGCTGGCTAGGGGTTGCTACAACCGGGGAAATTCACAATGCAGGACCAGGTGAAGAGCTCTCAGGACTAAGCAGAACAGACTGGCGGGTGAACCGCGGTACCCACTGTGGGCATCGAGGGAGCACAAGACACAGCGACGGTGCTGTGGCCCATGCTGCTCGCACGGCGTCCTGCACTCGCAGCAGTGTTATTTTCAATCACCAAACGAGCAAAGCAGTGCGTGGTAGCTCGTGACTCTCAAGCCTTAAATTTCTGTTTTTCTGTTATCACAATCAGCCCCGACTGAGGTCAGTCGGAATCTGCTCGGATCTTCATTCCGGAAGCGTGGATGTAGGCAAAGAAGAATCATTTTCCCGCCTACGGAATGAGGAAAATCATACATTGTCCACTACACACTATTACTGAGTATTAAAAAAAACTACAACAGGCTTTATGAGCTCCAAAGCCTCACAGAAGTTACTCCAACACCAAACACACACAAAGACGATTTTCAGGTTCTTGCAAGCCTCGTGTCAGAACCAAAGCCAGTGACACATCCAAACAGCTAGTCAGGTATACTCCACACAACAACAGAGATTACTAAAGATTCCCAGATGACAAGGACCCCGTCCTTCAGGCTGCAGCCAGTGTGAATGGGACCTCTATTCTCTTTCCAACACCCAGACACGGTAACAGAGGGTAGAAGCCCTAGCAGGGAGCATCCACATCGTCTTTATTACAGCTGGCTAACGGTCCCTGCAGGGAGCAGACAGCACACGAACACTTCGGTCAAGTGCAAAGCCCTTCCTGGACTGTCAGCTGGAGCTCCTTACAGTCGATGAGATTTCAAGGAGAATGACTAACAGCATGCACTTGGGGTCAAATCGAAATGAAAACACAGCCCGTAGCAGGACGGCTAACTGAAGCTCTCAGGCTTGGTTTGAAAGCCAGGTTTAACTTAAGGGCATAAATGGACTTTGCACAACCTCTCACGAGCAAGTACAAGGCTGGAGACCACACCTGGGTCCAGACACGCTGGCCTGCCCAGGCCCAGGCTCCTACGCTGAGTGGAACTGGCTGTCGATATTTAAGTGGCTGTAGGCGTCACGCAGAGGTGCCACTTTCCCTGCTCTCTTGGAAAATTAGAAGAAAAGCGGGCCCCGTGGTCCGCTGCAGCACGCGGTAAGCACAGCGCCCCCTCAGACGGGACTGTGCTCTCCTTGGCCTTCACCGGGGACCTGCCACTCCCACAGCATCCTGTCCCACTCACTTCCTGTCGGGCCTGGAATCCCCGTGGGAATTCACCAGCCTGCGTCATCCCTCCTTTCTCACATCTCAGACCTTCCTCTATTGCTTCTCCTTAGCTGCTACCCACACAGTGTGTGCGAGAGTGTTAGGTTCATATTCACGAACATTGTTAACTGCTCGCAAGTAGCTACTCACTCCAAGAATCTGTGGTCCTCAAAATAAATACGTGAACAGCGCGGGCTGGAACCAGCCAATCCTTGGGCAACATTGTGACTTCGGGCACATTAACTTTGAAACACCCACAGGGTGTTTTCTCCTGCAGGTAAGACCACAAGGTGGAGCACTAGGCTCCAAAGACCAGCGACCTAGTGCCAGTTCCTCCACCCACCAGCCGCGTGGTCCTAGACCTGTGCCTGGGGCCTCTGTCTCTTCACTCACACACAGGGAGAGGGTAGGCCCGCTCTTGCAACTCCAGCAGTTGCCAGGTGAACCCGAAAAGGCCACATGGAAGATGCCAGCACAGAGACACGTCTTTGGGACCGCTCTTTCATCTTCTACCTGATAGTGACACAGGTGGCTATTTTTCATTGGTTTTGTCTTGAAATGAGTACTGCTATCTCTGCAGCAACTATAGTAGGAGGGCTCTGAAATTACCAGAGCAAGGAGCACCTCTGGCATCAGGGTAAAGTTCCCAAGGGGATAACTTTGAGAAGGAGGTGAGGACGGGAGAGGAGCACTGTACTGACCTGCTGCCTTTCTTGTGCCTTTGCAATCCTTTGTGTTCAAATATGAGCTAAGTCTGATACTGCCGTGCTGAGAGCCCTAGGGTTTCCAAACACTTAGAATGAAAAAGTCTTCGTTGATGGGAGTAAGGGTAGGGGTGCGACAGGGTCTTGTTCTGTAACCCAGTCTGGCTTTGGACTTGCTATGCAGCCCAGGCTAACTTCAAACTTGTGATCCTCCTGTCCTCAACCCCCCGAGTGCTGGGATTATAAGCCTGTGTCAGCACACCCAGCTCAGAAAGAGCAACTCTTGACCACTTGCACAGGTAACCCCAGCTGTCTCTTCACGCCCTGCAGGTCCCGGTCACACTGACACCTTCTGCTGTCTCAGTGTCCCAGCTCATTTCTGCCCCAGAGCTTTTGAACAGATTGATGTCTCTATGAAGGAGGCTCTTTCTTGGCTCTCAGCGTAGCTGCCTCTTCCAGATTTATTTTAGGGTAAATGCTGGGACTTCCAAAGGCTACTCCATCTAAAGATGTCCCCTTGTCATTGTCTCCTCCAAGCCAATGACTTTGTTTCACTCTCTCTACAGATACTGAAAACCTTAAAGTTGAAGTTAAATGTTGATGTAATTATTGCCTGTGACTCCCACTGATAAGCTCTAGGAAGAAAGAAACATGGCCAGCTAGTAGCCCTGCATCTGTCACCCCCCACAGTGCACGGCATAAAGCAGGTGCCCGATAACCTCTGGCTGGGCAATGTATGAAGGAGTGGATCGATGAACACACATGAAAACTTTGAACCTTAAGTACTTACTGCATAGGGGACCTTGGGTTCTGTTACTTATACTTCAAGTTCTCAGCTTTGAGTAGCAAGTGGGACTCAAAGATTATCCCAGGGAACTGCTTTGACTTGTAAAAGGATCATGTATGTCAGGTTCCTAGGCACAGCCTAGCACACACCAGATTCTCAGAAAGAGCTGCTTTGGGAAAGATATTCATTGAATATGGCTTGTCCCCATACAAGGAACGAAAGTGGGATTGCAGCTCTTCACTGGTGCTATGTGAAGGTTTGTTTATTTTTAAAAAGAGGATAGAGAAGTAATGTTCCAATCGATTTACAGAGCTTGGCTAGGCTAAATAAATTATTTGCTGCATGATATACCAGAGGCTTGAAAATACTGCTTTGCACCCTGAATCTCCAAAAGAAGAATTTAGAAGGTAGCATCACCCCCACACATTTGCTTGACCGCAATACCTTTTATTGGGGGGTGCTATCTGCCAGGGTTAGAGCACCATGCAGCACATTCAGAAACGCTGCTCTTATTTTTTATCTAGTGCATTTCTAAACGAATCCTATGGATTCGACGTTCAGTAAAAATTTGTTGACTGCTTTTCTTTCATAAATTTCTCCCAATTTTCACCCTAAAGCCACTTCACATATTGACTTTATAGCTACCTGCACATAAAGAGAATTTCTATGTGAAAATCAGAAATTGAAGTGGAACAATCACAGAATATAAATTAAATATTGTACATCTTTGTGTGTGTGACAGGTGCCAAAACCAGCATCTCCTGCTACCCGCAAGAAATAAAAAATGATAATTCCAAACTCTACCAGTAGGTGGCGCTCTAGGACTAAATGTGGGGGGAAAAGAAAAATTTTTCTCAAACTGATTTGATAAATTCTCCCATAAGGGTCTGTATGATTTCTAAGATTAAGCTGCAGGTCTGCCAGGAAATATCAGCTTGTACTCTATCAAAGCAGGTGACTTGGCCGGAGGAATTAAAGCCATAAACTTCAGCAATACATAGAAATTATATCTCAGTAACTCTATCATCGGGCAACACAGGGCCACCAGGTCATTCACTTTCTCGATTTCATTTTTTTAGGGGGATTGTGGGTGGGCAAGGAGAGAAAAGGGGAGCTAGGTGGTACAGGCAGAAGACCACAGAACCTTCCTCATTACTTAAGTCAGTAACCTGCTCTGGTAAGACAATTTTGGATAGACTGTGTGCATATTTAAAACTTCAATGATGAGAATTTATCTTACTTTTTATTAGAAAAATAAAACCAGTGGCCATAACAGCACCAAAGCAATAAAATACATTTTAAAACTGCATAAATGTATTTAAACAGAACAGAGAGAATAAAGTAATAATATCTTAGGAGTAGGTGTATGACAAAAATTGGGACACTGTAACTCAAACACCGCAAAAATCCCTGAAGCCGCAATGGCGATACACGGTATTTGTGACAGCCGGCTCTAACCCAGCTCTGCAGGTGCCTTTGGAAAGGGAGCCTCTCTGTCAATTACATAGCAATCCCGCCATTCACTCAGCTCCTCACAGGCTCTCAGAGCTCGTTCTGCAGCACGGGCCCTGCATGTGAGCCCTGGTGTGAACCCAGCACAGAGGCAGGAAGACTGCTTCACAATACACCTTCCTTCACCAAGTGCTAAGTGGCTACTCCTGCAAGGCACCAGGATGGGATGACACAGGATAAAACCTGGCACCCCCTCCTGCCCCCGCCTGGACTTTCCCGCAGTACCGAGCAGCTAGCCTTGAGTCATGCGGCCACACCATGAAATGTAAAATGTGGCCTCTCCTAGGGGCTGCCGAGGAGGGCTCACTACCTGCACATAACCAGAGATTTGTAAAGCGGTGACAGTACCTAAGCGGGGAGGACCGCCCTTTGGATGTGACCCAGAAATGAGCAAGAGTTACCTAGGGCAGGGGAAGGGCACAACACCCACTGGGGAGAGATGACCATCGGGAAAAGCTGAACAGAAGCTGGGGTGACACGAGCAGACGTGAATGACCAATACCCTTGTGTCCCGGGGTTAATCACTCACTCCTGTTCATTGATTTGGTAAAGTTTTGCATGTGGACTGGGTGTGATCTACTGCACACTCTTTCAGATTTGGGGATCTTGCACCTCATTAGTCTAAAGGCCTCTGGCAGGTTCTCCCACAAAGGTTTGTTTGTTGATTTGCTTATAGATGTCATAGCCATAAGCTATGCTTATACTGTGAGGTGTGAAATGACACATTTTGTGGTACAAGGAAGGGCTTGAAGCAAATTTGAATTGTTCTTATTTCCCGAATGAGCAGCTCTGTATCCCGCTTCAGAACCCTCTTTCTGGCAGTGGACTCATTGCGATTTACTTAAGTCCCACAGCGGAACCAGAAGGCAGGACTCCCTGCCCTCCCCCAGGGCCCTGTCCCCTGGAACAGTGGTTTCTAAGGGGACCGAGCAGAAGCACTGGGAGGGCTCCTTCCAGCAGCTGGCTGGCCGCAACCTCAGAGCTCCCTTCCCCAGGGGCCAGGGGCCTGGTAATCTGCATTTCTAGCAAGCTGCCTAGGGACCCTTAGGGTACACTCATCAGTCTACCCTACCACACAGTTTCTCCAAGCCAGGACGCAGGCCAGCACCCAGACTCCGGGCTCACTACAAAGGCAGAGTGGTCAGCCACATCCTCCATCTTGTGGTCTAAAATCTCTGGGACTGAGGACTCAAGAATCTGCATTTTCAACAATTTCTCCCAGGCCATGCTGATAGACGCAACTCTTTGAGCTCCAGGGTTCTTGAAAGAGGAAATGCTCCATGTCCCCAGGCCTTAAGGGAGGCCCTCACCTGGGGGGAAAGGGGGCTCCCTCACCAGTGTGGCACCGATGGGGGTGAGTGGGCGGGGTCCCACCCAGCCACCCTGCGGCCCAGCTCACCTTGCAGGCGGTAGAGCTGCCCCGTGCTGTGCTGCCGGGTGATGTGCTGCCAGTAGGCGCTGCGGGGCAGGGGCACCATGGTGCTCAGCGAGGCGGCCCGCTCGCTCATCTTCATCTGGAGCTGTGGTCAAAGGAAAGAGAGTGGTTCGTCAGCAACGCTGGGACTGAGAGAGTCCTGACGGAGCAGGAGGAGGACACCAAGGGGTCCTGGAGCTATGGAGCCAGCTCCTCCTCACACTCACAGGTAACCACAGGTGGTGGACGGTGAGTCTTCACTTAATTCAGCATCATGTGTCCTTCACCCCCCTGGCAATGGTGCATGGGGGAAAATCCCTCCAACTCAGCCCCGTCCCTTCAGTCCTGCAGGGGCTGAACTTGAGGGTCCCCCGTGACCCATGTCAGACAAGAAGGCACAGTCCCACAAGCATCTATCAGAAAGCTGACGGAGAATCCACAGAGGTGTGCCAAGGAGTGCAGCTGTGCTACTCCTCGCTCTGTCCCAGGGTCTAGGCGACGCATTACACAGAGTATGTGTGCACTGAACACTTGTTGGACAGAGTGAGGGCTCCTGGAGGGGACTGAGAGGTAGGAGACAGGATAACAAAGGGCAGTGTGACAGTGAATGGGAACCACCTGAACAAAGTCAGCGGAGAAGTCCCTCGAGCACTCACAGGCGGGTGAGCCAGTCTCTGCTCCTCTGTTTAAGCTGGTTTGAGGTGGGTGTTCTGCCACTGTCATCAGCCGAACACCCCGTCTGCTGGACCAACCGCCTTCCTCAGCTGATCACTGATCCAGGTATTGAGGGACAAAAGGGGAAGTCACAGTGCAAGTCCCCCAGCTGGACATGTCGGTGCAGCTGACCACAAAGGCAGGGGCAGCTCCAGAGAGGAGATAGCCCAGCAGGACAGGCAGCATCAGCACAGTAAAGGAAAGTGCGGACACACATGCAAGAGGAATGGGGTGCAGTAGACAGCAGGTCCCAGCTACACTCTTGTCTGAGCCCTGGTCTTACACACAATCTCGATGCGGTTTTATTACACCACTGCACAACTCTTTGTGAAGTCCAAGCAATCCACCTCAGTCTTTTTTAAAAATGCATTTATGCATACACGGGCTTGTCTAGGTTGTTCACTGGGGTCCAACTCTCCATCGGTGGAAACTGGAGGGAACTTAAATATCCCTCAGTCAAGGCGTGGCTGATTGCTTGTAGAGCCAAGGCCATTAGCAGGCAATTGTTTTACCTTCAGATGGAAAATTTAGATCAGCCAAATGGGAAACACACATACATTGTCCAGGAAGGAAACGCAGTGAGTCGGAGACCACTGTACCTGGCGGAATGAATCAGCCAGCTCAGATGAAACACGGTGGCATTAAACCCTGAGCCAGCTGGGTCATATGTGGGGAGAAGATACCCGCCTAGCCTTGCTCAGCACAAAGTGGTCCAGAAAAAAGACAAGGAGATGACAGTGATAATGAGGATAAGCTGCAATGCCTGTGACTCAACATTTTAAAGAAAAGTACCTCTCTCTACACAGGACTTGAGCGTGGTAGTTTCAGATACAATATCTGCACATTCACTCAATAAAGACAAAATTATATGGGACTTCAGACCCAGAAGACCAAAACTCACTGTAGTGAATGAGACTCAACGTGAAAAAAAGACGTTCACCACTCACTCCAAAGACAATTCGGTTTAGAGGAGGGCATCTACACTTGCTGGATCGGCTGGGGATTTAGCTCAGCGGCAAAAGAGCCTGCCTGGCAAGCGCAAGGTCGTGAGTTCGGTTGCCGGTACCGGAGAAAAACAAAAAAAACAAAACAAAAAAAAAAATTTGGTCTACACTTGCTGGAGTGAATGCCTGGTCCTTATCACAACAGCACAATTACCAAAATGCATTCGCAAGTGGAACAATAAAGTACTAGGTGGGGCTGGGGATTTAGCTCAGCGGCAAAAGTGCCTGCCTGGCAAGTGCAAGGTCGTGAGTTCGGTTCCCGGTACCAGAGAAAAACCAAAAAAAAAAAAAAAAGTACTAGGTCCACCAGCCTAGATTTTCCTAAAAATGCACTTTTAAATCAAAAGGTCAGAAAGCTGAGAATTACAGCGTTGGAGGAGCTCAGTGGCCTTTCTGTATATTTGAAAAATCTCCCAAAAAATGTTACTAGTGACGTGATGACATTCAACCTAATTTATATGCATGAGAGAAATAAAAAGAGGAAAAACTGAGTGTAGAAGTACCGATTATTGGATTTTCTTAATATAAAAAGATTACATTTAATACAATAAGAATTTTAATATAGGGGGAACGCTGGAGGAATAGCAGTCACTTCAAATTATTCACTACTTTCCGGCAAAGACGTTTGGGCGGCCCAGCTTGATTTGCCGGTATTTTTAGAAAGCTTCTTTAGAGGCAGGAATGAAATGCTACTCATGCCGTGTTTTAGGGAGGACAATACAAAGCCTCTCCCTGCCCTTGCTCCTTCTCAGCCCTTTAAAAGAATATCTAATTTTATGAAAGGAACATTTTAATTGGACTTGAAGAGAAATGATGAGAAAAGCCTGCTCGTTTAACAGTGCGCAATGTCGGAATAATTCTGCCAGGGTGGGTAGGCTTAGAAAGTCCTTTGGGGGCCGGCTAGCTGGGAAGTCGCCCTTTATTCATTGCCCCCAAGTTGCAGCAAGTCACTCATACGAGTGAAGGGAGGGTGAGCAGGGCCCGCGTCCATCACTGGGGAAATACAAATTAGCACCCATTGGAGCAGGAGCTGAAAGTGGGTAACCCAAACTCTCTGGAGAGAAAACTTACAGTCTTTTTCTTTGGTAAAAAAAACTTCATACATTTCTTATGGTTTGACTAATTTTTTTTTTCAGCAAACACAATACATTCACATTTTAAAAAACAGAAATTACCCCAAACAATAGATTTGGAAAACACAGGGATATCTGCTCCACTGGGGTTCTGAGGGTCCTGAAAAGTCTCCTGACCACATTGTGGTGGAACTCAGCTCAGAAGACCGTGGAAACAACAAACACAGGCCTGTTTATCACCAGGGGCGCTGTCACTTTTGGGGATAACTTGGACAGCCGGGGCAGGCTGGAGGTCGAGGGGATACCAGAGCGTCGAGTGTAGGGAAGGTAACTGGATCAGGGGCACTGTGCTCATCAGGGGACCGTCCATCCATGAGGTCAGCAGCTGAAGGTGGTGTTAAGAGGTGGGTCACTGAGGACCTAACCTGGAAGGGGTCATCTCCCTCCTGTCCCTCTCTTCTCTCTGCTTCCTGGTTTCCATGAAATAAGCAGCTGCCCTCCACCCAGGCCCTTCCACTGTGCCCACTCTGCCTTGGAATCTTCCGACTATGGACTGAACCCTCAGAATTATAAGCTAAAACAGATCTTGCCTCCTTTAAGACTTGGCTTTCTGGGATTTGTCCCAGCCATGGGAAAGTAGCTCAGACAGCTGCTTTGAGAAAGTCCAGGGGACAGAGGTGGAGGGAGGGCTCTTTTTAACAAGGGGGGAACTAATGGATCTGCTGCCCATTGAGCAAGACAGGATGCTTCCCTTCGCAGGGGAAGCCCTGGAGTCTGCTCGCCTCTGATCTTAAACTGGAGGGGAAGAGCCCACTGTGCAGTTGTTTATTTAAAGGCATCTCTCTTTCCAGCTTAAGATTACAGTTCTGAGGGGCTGGGGATTTAGCTCAGCAGCACAGTGCCTGCCTGGCAAGCGCAAGGTTGTGAGTTCGATTCCTGGTACTGGGAAAAAAAAAAAACAAAAAAAAAAGTTCTAAAGATTACAGTTCTGCTCCTGTTTTTCTGGGTTTCCCTCACCCAGGGAAAAGTCCCTTGCACACCAACACAACTTCAGCATTAGAATGAATTATTGAACTGTTATCAGATGCTTCTGACTCCTGTGGGAATATAGCAATGATGTTACCCTGGGATAAACTGCATACCATACCTGACCCACACTTCATCCCCTAACAAATACATGCCCTTGAACTCTACAAATCAACAACCACATCAAAACCCTAAATCGCTCCTTTTGCTTCCACACATGTCAGCAAACTGAGCAGGATCACGAAACATTAAGCTCAGAAGAACTTAGGGAACAGCCCACCCAGTCTCCACGAAACCAAGCGTCCTGCGGCAAACAGTCCAACTTCACAGAGAGGGTGCTCTGATCTTGCAGCCTACACCCCTACACCAGTCAGTCTGGCCACTGCAGCTCTGCCCCCAGCCTGAGAGTTTTCACCACATCAAACCTTGCTAACATCTAAGGGCCCCCCATGAGTCCATTCAGAAATCATCTCCCTAAATATCTTCCTTACATCTGTTCTTTCCTAAGAGGAGCAGGTGCTCCTTCCAGGTATCTCACAGCTCTGTACTTATTCTGATTGTTTCATCATTTTTGCAATAGCTGTTAAAGGAGCCTGCCTTCTATTGCAGCCCAGTATCTCCTATAAAGAAGGAATTATAGCTTTCATTTCTGAATCTCTGACACCTAACTTGGGTCTTTAGAGGCTAAATAATTGTCTGACAAGTAAATGAATGAATCCAGGCTTTGTCCAGCCAAATGGCAAGAAACAGTTTTCAGAAATAAATTCTTAGGAAGCTAGCCAATGAGAAGCACTCTTCACCCACCACTGAATTCATGCTGAAACTTCAGGTTCAGGCCAAATGAATCTGCTGGAGATGCTTTGGGGGACAGAATAATAAGGCTGTGCTCTGCCATTCAAGAGATGGAATGAAGGAGTAGGAGAAAGACCTGCTCATGTGTGTATGTACATTTGTTTAGGACAATCCGGTAGTGGGGAACTTTAGCTCTGCTCACTGCATTCTGTCGGTGATGTCAGCTCAAGATCCCACCCGGGAAGGAAGGTAAGGCTTCATTCACATCAAACAAGTGCCTTCTAGTTCTTCAGCACTTGAACTTTGCCCTAGGCAGCAGGACCCATGTAGATCTCCTAACCCAGTCTGAGTGCCAATCAGTCCACCCCTGTAATCAGCAGGGGGAGACAAAAAGCACCATGCTGCTGGGGCAGAGAAGTTGACTATGGATTAGGAGGCCCAGGTCACACTTTAAGTTCTACCGCATATGAGCTATGTAGGTGTCTTAGTGACTTATC